TGTCTTGTATTTTAGGTTAGTAAAGATTCAACAAATTATGAGTTGTCATATTCCACTATAAATAAAAACCAAATAGACTAACTCATAATTTCTTGACTCTTTACTAACCTAAAATACAAGATAGTTGACACTTGATCTTAAAAATAACCAATTTAACAGACTAGTGCTTTGATTTTCGTTGAATTATTGCATGTAGTCTATGGAAGACGATATTCCAGTATAGTTGTTGATATAAATTCTTTTGATCGAAATGAGTAAAACTCAAGAAACATTGATGATTGATAATTGCTAGTCATTCGTATAATTGATAACAGTCTAGAAAATTCTCAATACTATTGTATTTATACGCTAACGAATTTAACGATGAATCACGCGTTAGAAATTTTTCACAAATGAACACGCGTTAAATTTGCTAAATTTAACGCGTTTTCCAGGTCGAAATTGTAACATATTTAATCGTTAAGTCGTTAAATTTTTAACGAATTTTCACGTGAAAAGATTTCGTTAAATTGTAAAAAATTTTTACATGGGCAGCGAGTTAAAGCGAAAAATAGTTCATTGTGTGTAAAGAATATGTAAACAAAGTAGCAAGATGAATAAATATAGAAAATATTCGCAAGCGTAAATAGATGACATGCCACTATCTAATGGTGTACTTGATGGGATAGATGACGTTGATAAAATCGATGAATTAAATGAATAATCTTCCGAACATTCACGTTCGAATTGGTTGTGAGGCAAAGTTAAATCATCAAGCTTGATATGATGATTAAATAGGAAGCAGTTAGCTAAACGTTGATCACCAAAATCCTGGCATAAACACATGTGAATTTCATCATAAAAGCAAGATAAATTTGATGAACGATTTCGACATGGTAAATGATAATATTTAATGCGTTGAATGAGATGCATTCGCATTATGCTTTCAATAAATATTTCATTTATAGATCGACAACGATCGGATGGATTAATGTTTCGAACAATAACAGATGAATAGTCTACTTTTTCATTAGCAACCAAGTAGTATTGGAATGTCGAAAGTTCGACAAAAGCAATATGAAATGGTTGTGACCAATAACTAATAATTGAAGTTTTATTTTCACATATTTTTGTCGGATTTTTGTTGTGCATATATAAAGCATGATGAAAAAAATAGATGAAATGAACAAATACGAGTGATTGCGGAGACAAATTAAGATTGTTGTGGAATGAAATAATAATTTTGTTATCAGGTAGTTCACATCTTTCTCCATGGAATCCTTTTCGGCAGATGCATATATATGGTTGATGAGATGTACTATGTTCATCAGAAGATATAAGTTACATACGCCTCCATTTAAACATGGGTCGTGTTGGCATACGGTTTTAGTTAATAAACATTCAGAACCAAACTTGTTAATAGGACATACACATATCGATCGATTATTTGCTGCAATACCAACACATAACGAATCAGATGAACAAGTGCATATTTGAGGAATAGTGCAGTATCGTCCCGTCCAACCTAATTTACATTGGCAAAAACTGACGTTTTCCGGATCATTTAAATATCGAATACATTCACCATGAATGCATTGTTGATTAGTACAAGTTTGGACAATATTATTTGCATGTGGAATATTAAGTTGAACAGCAATACGTTCGACAGGTAAGAATGGAAATTTCAGTAATATCAGCTGACTTCCACGATAATTTAACGTAGACATTTCATAAATGTCAATATGTACTGCATATTGTTTTGCAGAACTTTTTGGTCGAGTAGAATAAAGTAAATAGACATTAAATTTAACATATTCATCTCGCATAGGTAAATAAGACAGTTGTTTATATGAATGAATAATTTTTTCTTCACTATCATCGATTAATGAAATGACAAGTACAAATAATGTTTGTCGAGAATTTGAAGGTGCATTGATTTCCATGGTGAGACTAACACGTTGATTTTGATATTGACAACGATCACCATAATAACTTGGTGGACAAAGACATGTTTTTGTTGTTAAATTCTTATGGCTATCTAACAAAACTTGTAAAGGAAGGCCACGGTGACAATCATGTTCATTTTCGCTGGTCATCGCTAAATGTGGTATCATTTCCTTTGATTTTGATTTCTTTAATTGAGTATCTGTTGATTCTGATTTAACAGTGTCATAGAAATTTGAGTCTGAAACTTTTTTAGCCTTTAAATTATTTGGACGTTCTCGAAAGAAATCATTCATAGTTGAGTTACAAAACTGTTCGTCATCACTATTTTCACAATGTTTAATCCCATCACAAACATACTGCAGCGATAAACACGTACCAGAGTCACCATTTTTGCAATAAAACTTTCTTGGTTCCTTAAGACGATTCGTTACTGGACATAATGCTGGTTCATCGATACCACCTAAACAATTAATAATACTATCATTGGCTCTTTCAATAGGCAAACATATTAATTGATATGTATTCGATGAAATACATATATGATAATAAAGTGGACATTTGATTAAGGATGTTGGATCACAATCAACTTCATCAGCTCCATTCAGACAATTCCAAAAATTATCACATCGTGTATATGTATTATTGCATGGCCATTGTTCACAATCAGTTTCATCCGTCTGATTTTGTCCATTAATCACAATCGGTAAAAGATCGACCAAACCGTCACAAATCGTTGAAAACGTAATTTGTCGTCTGTTTTGATGTAATTTTAGATCTTCATCATCGCACATACCATATTCATCCGCTTTACAATCACAAATGCGATTTTCAACTTGATTTCGGCGAATACATTTGTTGTCTGTTTGACATTTGAAAAACATGTTGGTTTCATCTGTCAAACAATGTTCATCAATCGTACTTTGTTCTTCATCATCTTCATAATCACAATCTCGAATACCATCATCAACATAAGATTTTGGAATACATCTCGATGAATTTTTACATTGATACATAGTGAAACTGTCACAAACTGAGCTATTAGGCAACATTCGATTGCAATGTCCAAGTTGTGAGTATACTAGCTGGATATAACTGGAATGCCAATCTATTCCATTGAAATCAACCGATATTGGAAAATCTTCCGAACGACGACATGCAGTTCCCCTGAAGGACAATAAGGTTACGTTCGAATAGAATCCACCACATAGCTGTTCATTATAACATATATATTCGGGTGGAATTTGTCCCACATCTTTCCAATCCGTAGCGTATTTGATTGTATAAGCAAAGTAGATATGACCAAAGGCGATTGGAACTGTTGGATAATAGAACATCTCTGGACAAGTACTTTTTATCATTTCGATACACTTTTCATTTTGACAGAAATTCCAGCATACTGGATTGTTATCTGTTGGAATTTTAGAATGACATTTGAATGCCAAAAAACAATCCTGACTTATGGTTGGATCGAATACATCGAAAAACATTGCTTGTTTGATTCTTTCATTACGTTGAGATCTACATGAACTTGTAAAAGGATGGATAAATTTGTTCATAGAACGTTCACGCCATGAACATATGATATCTTCGTTTGTGAATACTGGTGTACGATATTCATTATAAAATGAATTCGGTGATAAAGAGGTATATTGATCAGATCGATCAAGACATTCGAAACTGACACCAATATTAACAAATCTTGGATGTATACATTGACCATTATCACATCGATATTCACCATCTTTGCATTTATTACTTATGAGTGGCCAACAATCTTTTTCATCAACTCCATCAGTACAATCGACTTTTCCATCATATATTTCGCTCCAATCAAGACATATTGGTGTTGAACCACGATTACATTGTAAATGAGTATAACATGTTAATGGTTCTGATGCATAAGCGTGCTGACGATAGTGAATACGAATAAATTCATTTAATGTCGAATTAGGATCATAAAAATCCAGTTGATACTGGCACTGTGGACCAAATGCTGGTGATGTACAATTGTAAAATATTTCTGTTCCCATCTCTGATAATACATTCCCATTTGAAAGAAGATTCAGATACAGGTGATAACGTTCACTGGTATCTATCGGTGCTGACCATTGATGTAATTGTTCACTTGTAATATTTCGTCGGCTGAGTTCAGCAAAAGTTAAGAGTGCATGAAAATTGCTGTTTACAATAGACCACTTCGATGCCGATTCACTCATACAATAAGGTATGATTTCACCAGACCATTGATCTTCGCTTAGATCAAAATAAAGGCAATCATGTTGTAGGACTATATCATTGGTATTTTCATTTATCCTATCGGTAAAATAAAGATTAATTTGAGAAGATGCAATCACCAAATGTAAGCAGAGGAAATAAATGAGATGTTTGACAAGCAACATTGGGTTTGTACTGCTAATCATTCGACTTGAACGTATCTGAAATAGAAGTTAGTAATCGATTATTTCTGTCACTTTTAGATGGATGCAATAAAAAAAAACTATTTCAATTGAATAACGAACACGTTTGACCTACTTCTGTATTAGTGGCGTAGCCAGAAAAAATCTAAGGGGAGAAGAATAAATCCATTTTTCCATAGGGTTTAGTTTATTGTAGGGGGCTGAGGCCCACTAGCTCTCCTCTGAATACGGCACTATTCTGTATTCGATTTTTAATTACAGCTAACTGTAATAAATGATATAGTATATGCGCATGTATACAGGTATATATATGAAACAATATTGTCTTAGAAAAAGAGAAAATGCGCAGAGAAAGAAGTAGTAAGAGAGAAAATAATAAAGGTGGGGAAAAAAAATAACTAAAAAAAAAAACAACGCCCAGACAAAGGTAATAACTCTTTTAGTGAACAAAGAAAATAGAAAATGTCATAATGTTTTCAAAACACTACGTTGATAGGAACAAATAATGCTAATCTATGTATTAATGTTATGAAATAGTTTTTGTTGTGTTTAGCCACATAATATGTCTATGTTTTGTTAATTACAAATATGTCATAGAATTTTAAATATCATTAACGTCAATAAATATGTATAGTGAAAGTTTTTTTTCCTCCAAAATGATATACTGGTTAGATAAGATCTCAATTAAATAATTCATCAGTCCAGCAGAAAAATCAACCATAATTAATATTGGCTTGTGTCTAACAAAAATGTACTTATTGGACAAAATCACCTAAAACTGAGAGGTGTTTATTTAAATTTGAAATCAAGAACTATATTGATTATGTATGAGAGAGTTTATATAGAGATGGTGGGATTATATTACTTCACCTATTAAATATTCTGTTTTCTTTTAATATTTTGTTCGCCTCTCTCTTTGCTAATCTTAGGTAATCAATTTTACTGCAAGCAAGACAAATGATATATTCAGGTTTGGTGTGAACAATAAAAAAAAATCCAGACAAACATAATGTGTGTTCGTTATGGATTAATCACAATTTTAAATAAATTCAATCGCATAAACCAAAGTTTAGTTGGTTATGAATAATATCTGTTGATTCAAAATATCTGATCATATAAATCATTTTCACTATAATTTTTATCGACTTGTTCTATGTTGTCATCTTAAAACTGTTTCATGAGCGTTCTAATACTCATGGTATAAAAAAATTAGAAGAAATGGATTGTAATACGCATTTTTGCTATATTAAAACGTGTTGCGCTGCGTTTCTTTTAAATGAAACGAGTTTCGCAGGTTCAGGTGTCGGAAAGGATGCAAAACGCATTTAGTTTTACGAACGAGTTCCACGTCATTCATTCTCCTGGTGTTTTTTATTTTAATTTTGAGTATGACAAGTTGACAACAGAGTTGTTTTCCTTAGGCAATAAAAAGTACATGAGTCATCTAGAATATTTTATGCTCAATATTTTTCTTCTTCTTTTCTTTAACTATTTAAAACTATTTTATGACATTGCTCAGTGAACAGCAAACAGAGATAGATTTGATCAATCATTCTCAAATAAAAAAAATAGAATGATAAGTACAGTTGATCTGCATTTCATCCTTATTTCTCATTTTCGATCTTTGACAATCGTCGATAGACACGAACATCAACGAAAACAAAAAGTAAATCGAATAGGATCATAAACGGATAACTCATCCTGATTACTTAATACTATGTAGTACTGGTGCGTTCCAGATCTTTGGAATAATGTTAGAAGTTATTTCCCAACAGCGAATTTTCCACTAGGCTTCACTTTTTTCTTGTTTTGAAAATAAAAGTCTAAAGAATCAAACATCAACAAAGAAAAATTTTATTTTCCATTTAATGCAACAAAACTCAAAATGCGATGCAAAGTTAAGTGTATTTACATCTTGATTTTTTGGTATTTTTGATTGCTCACTTTGTAGTATTGTCCGTTTTACAGTTCGAACTAAATATGGTTACCAATAGAGTTTAAAAAAGCCTTTCTTTCAATAGATATTTCAGCAGAATATCAATTTAGTAAAAGCTAGAATTTTTTTAAAAATTATTCAGTTTACAAAACCATCAAAAAAAGAATGGAAAAAATCTAAAAATTGTGCTTTTGAAGTAGTTTTTACAGAGCGTCTAATAAGTTCTCCCATTGATGGCGAGTCACTTTTAGAATGATATTATTTATGAAACTAACTTATTTCCAGATTAGAAACATTTCGTAACGTTAGTTGAAAGGGAGTTTTTGTGTCTTACAATGTGACTAAATAAGCGACTGTTGGCTGAACAACTTTGTTCTTTAGACTTACTTTCTTCAAAAAATAACTGAAATCCATCCGACGTTTTGTCGTTGAGAAATAAGTTCTGAGATTATACCAAAAAATTTTGCACCGTATATTATATTTGAATCGTTCACTACAATTTTTGCTGCTTCTTCGGAGGCGTTCTATCAAACTAATAGGAAAATAGATTATTAACAGGTATGAATATGGCAACTCCTAATATCTCTTCTAAACTAGAATGAAAAGATGCATGTATTCGATGGAGGTAGTGTCAGTACTGCACCAAGGTAGATATTAATATAACCATATCTGATTACTTATATGTTAAGAGATACATTCATTCAGACAAGTCGATCTTGAATGACTGATATGTATGAAAAGATATTGCACCTTTTTCAGTTTCGACACGTTCTAGGACAATACCTAAGATTCCTTCAATAAAGATTCCAAACGGAAGTAAAAGTTTTCATTTTTTCAAAATGCCAAACAATTTCAAAACTGAATTCAGCAACTTTCCGGTGAAGAAAAAAGATTTCTATACATTGCATGTTGAAAGAAGAGCCAACCATGAACGCTCGGGTCAGTGTGAAAAATGATTTACTCTTATTGGTTTCAGTATTGTCCATATGCAATGGCAGAGCCTCGATCAAGGCATCAGTACGGGTATCGGCGTATGAGTATCGATGTGGAACTAAAGAAAACTAACATCCACATCCACATCCGTTGCTAATACTCTTTAAGAATACCGAGAATACAATAGGAATTCTGAAAGCATTCAAAATATAATAACACTGGTTTTTTCAATAGTTATAAATTAAGGATTTGTTCAATTTTGATTTCATAGATTACTTCTGTTGATGTAAGTATCAAAACACAATATGAGTATGACAGTATTGTTCTTAGTGTAAGTTAGTGACTGTTGTAAAAGTCCGATAAGTAAAAATATTACAACCAGTTTTTAGAAGTGAATGCTATGCATGCTGAATTTCAATAATTCCTCATAAATATATTAGATTTAAAATCTAACGTAAAGTTAAAATGGATAATTCGTTAGAAGTAAACAATGATATTCGATTTTCGAATCAAATTAACTAAATAGGAGACAACAGATGTTTTCAGTATGTTTAATGACCCGTAATGATATATTATTCTTTAGCAAGTATCAGTTGGGTCTACATAAGATAAATAAGATATGTAAATAATTGCGTGAACAACATGAATTAGTTTTCGAATGTATATCTCAAATAATTCTGACATCATTTGATCAATATTTTCATGATGATCAATTCTATTTTTTATTTGAGTTAGCATCGAATACATGAGTTTTATCAATGTCACAAAATCAAATCATTCATAGTTGGTTACGAAATATCGAAGAACGTAAACTTTAGATGGTATCATATGAGTGATATCTTAGAATTAACAATTAAATGAACAAGAAACATATTTTTCTATGAAAAAACAAATCAATAATGCACTCAAGATACTGTTTGAAACATAGTTAGAAAATTTTCAATTCGAAATGTTCAAATTTTATATTATTATTCTGTCGAGAAAATGCACTCGTCTGGCAATCTCCATTTGAGCCCATTCATTGGATTCTTGATGTAGATAAAAATCTAAAAACGTTCATTTCCTTAAGTTTTTGTTTTCGAGCTGTAGTACTTTCAATAAATTTTCAGCTTATTGCACTATATCACGAGAAATATGGCAATGCGGAGATTCGATCTGAAACTCTTCTGCATGCAATAGACTGAAAATTCATTAAAAGGATCATAACTCAAAAATAAAGGTCTAATAGCACGAATACCTTCAAAATTTTTATCTGCACTACGATTATAAACCTGGGAAGTCATACTTTTTTACCTCGATTCTGAAAAAATTTTCTTCTGGATTATGGAAATCTTACATGTTCTAATATAATACTTAATTAAAGACTAGTGTACTCTGGCGAAGTATATATGATATGGAGTCATTCAAGTATTGCTACCAATTGCCAAGCCGTTCTTTTTGACTTCTTCAAAAGTTAAATAAATCACACTTCTGTATTATACTATATTGGACAAATTTTTTTGGACGATTTTGTTCTCAGTATAATTTTCTATAAAGTTGGCTTTTGGGATGCAGTTTACGTCAAAATCACAGATAATGTTTATTCTATGTCGACAGAAAATTTCGGCCCGAAATGTTGAGCCATAGTGGAACTGTACACACAACAATCCGAAATAATCACTTTTATTCGACGATCTTTTAAATTATGTTGTTTGTTTTTCCCAATCATTCAAAAGAACTGCAAAACACGAGCTACGTTTTGATAACCAAAATTTTCTAAAAGCAAAATTTTAATGAAATGAAATGCTTATTTTACGACCCGCAGTTGACTTCGTTCAGTGTGGACTCTTTATCACTTTTATATAGTGAATATTTTTTCATTCCAAAATATCATATTCGATATAGCATCTGACGTTGCAAATTTTTCTGAATAATGACTTCTCAAAATTGAAAAAGGTTTAGTGGAAAACTTTNATTTCGATACATTTTTCATTTTGACAGAAATTCCAGCATACTGGATTGTTATCTGTTGGAATTTTAGAATGACATTTGAATGCCAAAAGACAATCCTGACTTATGGTTGGATCGAATACATCGAAAAACATTGCTTGTTTGATTCTTTCATTACGTTGAGATCTACATGAACTTGTAAAAGGATGGATAAATTTGTTCATAGAACGTTCACGCCATGAACAGATGATATCTTCGTTTGTGAATGCTGGTGCACGATATTCATTATTAAATGAATTCGGTGATAAAGAGGCATATTGATCAGATCGATCAAGACATTCGAAACTGACACCAATATTAACAAATCTTGAATGTATACATTGACCATTATCACATCGATATTCATCATCTTTGCATTTATTACTTATAAGTGGCCAACAATCTTTTTCATCAACTCCATTAGTACAATCGACTTTTCCATCACATATTTCGCTCCAATCGAGACATATTGGTGTTGAACCACGATTACATTGTAAATGAGTATAACAAGTTAATGGTTCTGGTGCATAAGCGTGCTGACGATAGTGAATACGAATAAATTCATTTAATGTTGAATTAGGATCATACAAATCCAGTTGATACTGACACTGTGGACCAAATGCTGGTGATGTACAATTGTAAAATATTTCTTTTTCCATCTTTGATAATACATTTCCAATTGAAAGGTGATTCAGATATAGTTGATAACGTTCACTGATATCTATCGGTGCTGACCATTGATGCAATTGTTCACTTGTAATATTTCGTCGGCTGAGTTCAGCAAAAGTTAAGAATGTCTGAAAATTGGTGTTTACAATAGACCATTTCGATGTCGATTCACTCATACAATAAGGTATGATTTCACGAGACCATTGATCTTCGCTTAGATCAAAATAAAGGCAATCATGTTGTCGTACTATATCATCGGTATTTTCATTTATCATATCGGTAAGATAAAGATTAATTTGAGATGATGCAATCACCAAATGTAAGCAGAGAAAATAAATTAGATGTTTGACAAGCAACATTGGGTTTGTATTGCTAATCATTCAACTTGAATGTATCTGAAATAGAAGTTAGTAATCGATTATTTCTGTCACTTTTAGATGGATGCAATAAAAAAAACTATTTCGATTGAAAAACGAACGCATTTGACCTACTTCTGTATTTGTGGCGTGGGCAGAAAAAAATCAAATGGGGGGGGAATAAATCCATTTTTCTATGGGATTTAATTTTTTGTGGGGGGGGGGGGCCCACCAGCCCCCCCCCCCCCCCCCCCTCCGCCTCTGAATACGCCACTATTCTGTATTCGATTTTTAATTACAGCGAACTGTAATAAATGATATAGTATATGCGCATGTATATAGGTATATGTACGAAACAATATTGTCTTAAAAAAAGAGAAAATAGTAAGGATGAAAAGAAAAATAATACAAAACAAACAATGTACAGAGGAAGGTGATAACTCTTTTACTGAACAAAGAAAATAGGCAATGGCATAATGTTTTCAAAACACTACGTTTATAGGAACAAATAATACTAATATATAGATTATTGTTATGAAATAGTTTTTGTTGTGTTTAGTTACATTGTATGTCCATTTTTTGTTAATTACAAATATGTTATAGGATTTTAAATATCATTAACGTCAATAGATATGTATAGTGAATGTTCTTTTTCTTCAAAATTATATACTGGTTAAATAAGATTTCAACTAAATAATTCATCAGTCCAGCAGAAAAATCAACTATAATTAATATAGGCTTGCGCCTAAAAAGAATGCACTTATTGGACAAAATCACTTAAAACTGAGATGTTTTTATTTAAGCTTGAAATCAAGAACTATATTGACTTTATAGGAGAGAGTTTATATAAAGATTGTGGGATTATATTACTTCACTTATTAAATATTGTTTTCCTTTAATATTTTGTTCGTCTCTCTTTTTACTAATCTTAAGTAATCAATCTTACTGCAAACAAGACAAATAATAAATGCAGATTTGATGTCAACAATCGAAAAATCCAGGCAAACATAAGCTGTGTTCGTTATGGATTAATCACAATTTATAATAAATTGAATCGTACAAACCAAAGTTTAGCATGTTATGAATATTATCTATTGATTCAAAAAGTCTGGTCACACAATCATTTTCACTAGAATACTTATTGAATCGTTCTGTGTTATCATCATAAAACTGTTTTATGAACGTTCTAATATAGAATTGTATCTGCTACTTTTTACTTGTAATAAAACTGGATATCAGCGTAGAAATAAAAAAAGTCTGGTTTTGGTTTTAAGTGATTGGATGTGTGTGTATTCACTGAGCCCACACCCACACGAGGGCATGGCAAATTCCGCTTTCCAGGAAATTCAAAATTGGCTACACCTAAAGTGCAGAAGATTTGGTTGGGTTGGATCGGGTCAAGTAAGAATATATATGTGGGTGCGACTGTGGGTGTCGATGAATCTATTATACACCCACCCTCACCCTGGCCCACACCCACAACCCTGTTGGAACCACTTATATGACTTCTTCACATATAGTCTCAATAAAATAATTAATTCTTCTATATGTTGAGTATTCTTTGTTCGTATCGATCTATTGAATCTTATGAAGGTTTATAGAAGACAAAATGAAAAAGTTCTCAATAATGCATCCAATTGATTAATCACTTTTGAGTCGAAAACAAATGCATCATGAAGATCCTTTTAGGTTATGAGTGAAACATGAGAAATATTGGTTTTCGAATTTCGATTTAAAACGCTGTATAAAAACAAATCTTCATGGTTATTAGTTAATCATGAAAGTGTCAGGTCATTTACGCAGTATCTTAGGATAAGAATAATTAAAAGAGCTAAAATTGTTGTTAAAATCTACGTGTGTACAATGTTTCAAGTCGAAATTCAAAAGCGAATTTTCCTGAAAGGAGTCACAGAATTGTATTGAAATTGTTTCGAAATATTCGTAGCCCATTAGAATCTAAAAGTAATTCATGTGCTAGAAGATTTCCTTCGTTGGAAGATCTAGAAAAAAAAGACGTTTTGATTTTATTGAAGTTGAAAAAATTTTCTTGTATCTTATTTTTTGTTCTAGTCGAAACAGTCAAACGATGTAATTCCTATAATTGATGATCATATTTTATTTCGTTTGATTTCTCTTATTGAAACGATTTCTTCGGATACAAATACATTTTCAAGTGAACAATTCACAGAACTACTCGATAAATTTCTTCATCAATCATCAATTGTTCGTCCATTGTTTTATTCTCGTTCAATATCATTATATGAATTGAAAACTTATTCTCTATCAATACAATCAGATTTAAAGGATTATATACTATTATTTAAAAGTAGACATTAATGAAAAACAATAAAGTATATGATTTTTTGACTGAAACAATTATTAATATATTTAATAATCGACAAAAATTTTCTAATGAAAAATGTCAAGTATGAAAATTTTCGTGTAAATAGAAAATTTTAAAGAGATCACAATTTAATTTGAAATAAATCGTTGTCTTCTACCAACAATAATTCTTTTTATAATCCATATTAATTATTCAAATTCCTTCTATTC